GTTTGTTGATTCTGTATGGCAGGAGCTGATGTGGTCTGAGGTTGAACATAGTTCGACTTGCCTTTTCCATCTCCTGGCTTTCCTCCTTTTCCATCATCATCCTTGCCTTTCTTGCCTTTCTTTCCTTTTCCTTTTCCTTTTCCATCTTCTGGAAGTATCCATACTCATCCATGTAGTATGAATCATCATAGGCCCAATAGCCTTTCATTCCAGGTTTGATCATCGGCCCAATAGCCGTCATAGTTTTCATTCCATTCATCATCTTGCCATTCATCTTCATAATCTCTTCCCACTCACCATGTGAGCACGGCCTTTTCTTCTTCTTTACCTCGGCCTTTTCCTTTTCTTGATCTGAAGAACCTTCGTCCTCCTCTGCCTTTTTTTCCTTTTCTCTTTCCTTTACCTTTGCCTCGTCTGATGTATTTGCCTTGGAACCTTCTCTGATACCATGTGAAGTTGGCGTCATCATAAACCCAGAAAACATCTTCTAAAGCATCCAGGAATCCTTCTGCGCCGTCTTCTTCATCTTCGGCCCAATAGCCGTCGGTTCCTTCTAATTCACCTTCATCCAGTACGAGGAAAGATCTTCTCTGTGCCATGCCAGAGGGTTGCATCAATGGATTGTCAACTGCTGTTTTGGTAGTGCAAAACATTTTCAAAAACAGGTCACGTAGTTCTTGAATGTTGTATCGATCGAGGGTTCGTCCACGATGTGTCATGATACTTGTGAGTGTGTTTCTCTGATCTTGACTCAGGTCAGCTAGACTTACAAACATCAATGCTAGCAAATTTTCACCCAGTGGGAATGCTTGTCGCTGTACTTGTCTACGATCTTCCTGAAATTGTCTAAATGCCGCTAGTGCCAGTTCATCTGACCAAGGAACAACTACATGAGGAGCTGCTCCTGAGGCTGCTGCTACTTCAGCTCGTTCTTGTTGATCTCGTTCATGTTCTTGACGTCGTTGCTGAACAAACAGGATTGCTTCAGGACTAGTCACTGTTACTTCTGGAAGTAAATCCATCCAAGACTCAATAAGTCTATTGCCAGTGAGTTGAAATCTAGTCATCCACTTCTGAAGATCCATGGTTCCTCTGTTGAACTTCATGAACTGCATGAAACGGTATAAGAACACGTTCTGGGCACCTTTGATGAAATGAGGTCGTAGAAATCTTTTGAAATAAGCCACTCCTTCATAGGGATCCCTGAGTAATTCTCTATCCAATAGCCTCTTGTATTGTTGAGCATCTCCTTCCAGTCTATTGCGCAATGCTGGACCACGTTTTTCTGGTTCTAACTCCGTAATGTCACACCAGTCATCGATTGCATCCTCAAAAGCAAAGAAGCTGGTTCGCCCATCATAGGCTGGAGCAACCTTTGTGGTCATCTGTTGCGTCATATGAATCTGTGTATGCTGGGGTGCTCTTCTCATTGCATAAGAGTCATATTGGTTCCATTCATTTGCATCGACAATGTCGAAGTCATCATCATCATAGCCATGGCTTGCCATTGCTTGGGCTCTTCCTGGAGCTCACCCTCAATGAGGGATCACAGCTCCGCTACCACTTGAAGAGGGGCCCTAGCGTCTACTTCAAGATCAGCTAAGGCGTCTTCCCCAATGACAGCACTCTTTTACTCTCAGCCTGTTGCCGGTCAGTGCTTGTCTACAGGGTTACTCTATATACCTCTTGAGCCTTGAAGGGCGCATATAAATGTGCTCAATACTCATGCATGTACCTATGTAGGTATTAGGTCGAAACAAAAACATGGGGTGGGGTGGGGGGGGGTTGGGGGGGGTTGGGGGGGTGTTGGGGGGGGGTGATAACGTTCTTCTTTATTAACGTTCTTGCATCTGCGTTCTTGACACGCTTTTCACTTCTGCAAGTGACGGTTTGACACGCGTTGGATGTTTTGGTTTTGATATGTTGACGTTGGTGTCCGGTGGCGTGTGGGCATGGGGTTGGGTTTGGGGGGATTACAACGTTCACGTTAACCAGCGTACTTGAAACTACTTCCTTACACGCATTTCTTATTTGCAATTCATATCATCATCATCTCCAACATCATCATCATTATCAACATAATCATCATCATTAACATCATCATCAACATGATCATCATCGTCAACATCATCATTATCATCATCATGATCAACATGCCCATCATCATTATCAACATCATCATTCTCATCATCATGATCAACGTGATCATCATCATTATCAACATCATCATCATCATCATCAACAACAACATGATTATCAACATGATCATCAACATGATCATCATCATTATCATCATCATCATCAATCGCTTCGGTGAGGTAAAAAAAAAGTTACTTCGGAGACCCCTCTTGGAAGATGCATTTTAAAAAACTTCACGAAATGCAGGTTTTAAAGGCGTTGTGCGTTGAAAAACGCGCGACGCCCTCGAGGGGACCTTCCCTTGTTTTTCCACTTCATGTCGGCACTGTTGGCGCAATCTGAATTTCAACGAGGATCACATCAGGAAACTTTTGATGTTAATCTTTTGGACGGGTGAGGTTGACAAGTTTGGACTTCAGTCTTCATTGTTGGCGCAGCTCAAGACTGCGGCTTTGGAAATTCATGTCTAAACATTTATTTCCTCTTGGATACGACGATGATGGCCTTCCACCTCTGGAGTTTCCAGCTCTCTTTCCTGCCAAGTGAAATGAAAGTGTTTTTTGATGTTTTTTGCACGCCCGATGCATTCCACATCACAATTCGATAAGGCAGTTCTGAGCAAGTGTGTGTGTGTAATGCTTTAACAATAAGCATAATCGAAGGAAGTTTAGAAGTCAAACTTCCGACAATATGGAGAGATGAAAAGCAGAGCAGGGCAGAGGCAGAGAGAAGAGGAAGATTAGAAGAGAGAAGATCAGAAGAGAAAGAGTAAGAAGACAGAAGATACAGATGCGCGAAAAGGTAGGAAAGTCGCGCAACACTGTGTTTTTCCAATGTAATGATTTGTGGCTCCGGAGGGTCGAAAAGTAGGCTCGCTAAAGCGGCGGGTGCGGAGCCAGCTGGCCACAGGAGCGATGAAAAATTGCGCGCCGTTGTGGCGCGAAGCACATTTCGAAGTCAAAAGTGTTAAAAACTGGCGGTCTCGGACCACTTTTGGAAGTTGAGATGTCAAAAAAGTGCACGGCGTTGTGGCGCTAAGCACATTTCCAAGTCAAAATGTACAAAACACACCATGCTCGGACCACTTTTGGAAGTCGAGATGTTGAAAAAGTGCACGCCGTTGTGGCGCGAAGCACATTTCCAAGTCAAAATGTACAAAACACAGCATGCTCGGACCACTTTTGGAGGTTCAGATGTCGAAAAAGTGCACGCCGTTGTGGCGCGAAGCACATTTCCAAGTTAAAATGTGCAAAACACCAGGGGTTCGGACCACTTTTGGAGGTTCAGATGTCGCTTCGCTTCACTACACTACACTACATTGCACTACACTACGCTCCACTACACTACGCTCCACTACACTACACTACATTACACAACACTACAACTACAACTACACAACTACACTCCACTACAATCCACTACACTAAATTACACTACACTACACTACATTACACTACACTGCACTACCTTCCAATACACTTCACTACATTACACTACACTACACTACAACCACAACTACAACTACAACTACGACTACACAACTACACTCCACTACACGAAATTACACTACACTACACACCACTACAACACTACACTCCACTACTCACTACCACTACAACACTACACTACACTACACTACACACACTACACTACCACTACACTACACTACCACTACTACTACAACTACAACTACAACTACGACTACACAACTACACTCCACTACACTCCACTACACTAGATTACACTACACTACCTTCCACTACACTTCACATCACTTCACTACATTCCACTACACTCCGCTACACTACACTACACTACATTACACTACACTACATTACACTGAATGACACTGCGCCACAGATAGACAGGTAGACAGATAGACAGATAGATAGACAGACAGGTAGACAGCTAGACAGATAGACAGATGAAAGAGAGAGAGAGAGAGATAGATAGATAGGTAGATAGGTACATAGGTAGATAGGTAGATAGGTAATGAGATGAAAGAGAGAAAGAGAGAGATAGATAGATCGATAGATAGATAGATACATACAAGATAGGCTGGTAGGTAAGTAGATAGTCAGAGAAAGAGAGAGAAAGAGAGGAGACCTCAAGCACCTTTCGGTCCATCAGCGGATTCGCTCTGCCATCCCTGATTCACAACAGCCAATCTCTCCTATAGGTTTCCTATTTTTGAAACTTCCGCGACCGCCTTGTGCGGTACTACTGGTAAGCACAATGTTATTACAGCATTACAGCATTTTAGCCACATTTTTTGTGTACGTTTTCATTTCCTATTTCTGTGGCCCTCAGACGGCTCCCTTTGTTGGTCGTCAACATTCCATTGAATTTAATTGTTGCTGGGGTACTGTTGACAGCCGCAGGCGTAGTCTGCAAAGCATCAGCATTCCCAGTGAGTTTCCTAGCAAATTTCCTCGGACTCCCTTTGCCTTGAAGTGGACTAATGAAAAGTGCAGGCTGTTGCTGTGGCTCCGTGGTGGTTTTCTGGTGGATCATACAGCACCTAAAAGGTTCGTGGATGTATGTATCAACTGGATTCAACAGACTTTCTTGCATAAGAAGCAGATGCAATCCCCACAAAATATTGAGGCTGTGTGTCAGAGAAACCTTTCAACTCCAGATTTCCCACCACACACAATCAGTACACTGTTGCCGAAGGCGGACTGGTGGAAACTGGAAACAGCATGTGTTTTTCTGTTTTTGTTTTCACGCCAGAAACTGATAGCATTTTTTCCTGGCAATGGCAGATTCGCAGATATTATGCTATCATGCGGGGCCATTGGAATTTGGTGACTTGAGCTAGCCCTTCCTTCGGAGCAGATATTTTTCCACCAGCACCCCAGGAATATTGCTGAACCCTGGGCAGTCAATCTGCTGACTTGGGCGCCGGGAGCCAAATCCGAGGTGTGCAACTGAGAACCCCACAAGACGTTTTTTGTGCGCATCTTTTTCCGTGTTCAAAAGCGCATTGCGATACTGCATGATATTGTGAAGCTTACCCATTCGTGATCTGATGGTAGAGCCCGAGAGACCGACAACATACCACAAGCAAAAAATCTTCCAAGATGCGAAGACGGTGGTGGGCGCATGCTGAATAAATTGGACGTTCTACAGTGCTTTCACCAGCTCGTGTGGTCTGAGATCCAGAGCACAATTACCATCCATTCTTCAAAACTCGGGTGTGATATTGGGCGACGGGCTTGCGCCCTGAAACCCGATTTCACATTGGACTCTGAAACAATGTTCTTCAAGTTGAAGCAGGTCCAGATTGTTTTGACGATTTTCGCATTTCGTAGATTACATTCTCACAGGATTAGTTATGCCGGCCAGGACCACTACCCACCTGTTTTGTCCCCACAGGCCCAAGAAGGTTGGCCGAAGGCCACGGTGAAGGCCACGGTGAAGGCCACAACTGCACACCTTGGCGATAGACGCTTACTCGGCTTGGAGCAGCGCGCCACGCCCAGTCCCCACCATCGAGCTTCTCATGGGAAGCCCTGGCACCAAAAGGTGCTCTATCAATGTTAGCTAAGTTAGTTATCTAAAAACATCCAAAAACCAAACGCCCATTGAAGAGACGTGGGGTGCTGAGGCCATGGCATCCAAACAGGTCAAGAAACTCCTGGATGCCTCCAAGCCGCAGATAAGCTACAGTGTGTAGTGATGTTGGCATATGCTGATATGTTTAGTGGTTGCCATAACCGTGACGGTATTCCACAGTGACTTGGCTTCTTCGAAGCTTGGGGAGAAGCTTCCAGATACAGAAAGCGGGTAGAAGTGGAGCATCATTCATGGGGAATGGTTTAATGACCCTTGAACTTGGGGCAAATTTCGCTACCATTCGCCATAGCAGCAACAGCTTTCTGGCCGCACCATGGCTTTTGGGCTCTGGCCAGTGGGGAATTCAGCTGTTGGACCATGAACCGCGGAGGTGATTTCTGAACTTCATCCGCGGAAGGAGAGCAAAGAGCTGTCAGACGTGCCTGAAACTCATGGCTTTCAGCAGTGTTAGACATGTGAGACGCTCTAAGTCTGAGGCTGGAAAAGCAAGTTGACAAACTTGTAGAGGAAAAGCTGAACCAACTTATGGAGGAGGCCAGTGCAAGATTTTTTGGTGCTGCTGGTCGGGCTGCGGGGGCTGGTGCTGGGGTGATGCTGGGGCTGGTGGTGCATAGGAAAGGGATGGACAGTTTCATGGAAAGGGTTTTACATGTCTTCACAACCACTTGAAGTGTTTTAGCATGCTGCTTGGCTTATTAACTTTGCTAGGTCCGATGCCGGCTCAGTGTGCTTAGGATCTGAAGAAAATGAAAGCTGCCACAAGCAGCCAGGCAGAGGCGCAGAAGCTGCCGCACCCTTGAAAATCTGTTGCATGGATTCATTACGTATATATATATGTATATAATTAAAATGGAAATCATTGAAATATAAAATCTAGTACTTTGTCCGGATAATAGGAACTCTACACTTCAAGTGACCAACCAGCTGTTTTCAAGCCTTGGCTTCATGCCAGATTCTGCTAGGCAGAAGGAACAGCCAAGGCTGCCTCTGAGGGTGCGCCTAGATAGGGAACAACAGCACAGCATGGCAGGCCAATGCCAGCCAGCCAGTTGTGAAAGCATGTGAAAACGAAATGTGTTCTGACCTGAGTTTTCAGGCTGATCTTGGATCAAGCCATACCCGCCATCGCAGATCCCGCTGGCCATGGTCAAGATATGTTGAGCAATAGAAAAAGATCGAGTGTGGTGCTTGGAGGTGGCATGTGGGTTTGCGGCTCAAGTTCATATTCAGAGCGTAGTAGGGCTAGGAGTGAGAGGTTACTGTCATGGCCGGAAGCCCAAGTGCCAGGAGACTGTTGGGTGAATGAGGCGTCAACACACACACACACAGACGCTTACTTGAGCCGCCTTGGTGATTCGCCATATGTAGCTTCTTTCACAGCAGGGTCGGGGAAAACACAGCGGATTTGTCGTGCATTCAACTGAGATCAACTGAGGCTGTGATCACAGAGGTGCCCTGTGGGGTTTGTTCTTTGCGCAAAGCTTCACAAGCCGTCGTTCTTGGACCCACGAGCAAGGCAAATATGAAGACAGGAACCATGCATCATCATGCATCATTCATATTTCCATCATGTTTCCAAAATGGGAGTCTCCAGGTTGAAAGTGATGATGACCTCCCGCCACTGGTCGGAAGTGGCTGCATCCTTACTAGTGTAGCTTGCATAGCTTGCATACACGGCCAAGATACGCGAAGGCAAGTGCCCAATCAATCCCAATCAATCCTGAATCCTGGTCACGAGAAGCCTTGGTGACTGAGGCTCGGCCAATGCCCAGAAAGCACCGCAGAAGCAGGCGCAAGATGGCGCAAGCATTTGGGTTCACCCAGACAGCTGTGTTGGATATGTCTTTCGTGCCAGCGTGGTGCTGCATTTTGGCTAGGCTTTGGAGCGGGTTGAAGCATGTTGAGGGCCTGATGGGTAAATTTCACATAAATTCCATGTTTTATACAGTATACAACTATTTGCGCTGTTCTTACTAGACGGCAGTGTGGCCCGAAAGAAGAGCAGGAGGGAGTAGATCAAAAGAGGGTGGAAAAGAAGATATGAAGATTACAGGTGATGAATCACGATGAAAAGACGGTGAATAATGAATGAAATTGTTGATGCAGAATGACTAAAGTACGAAAGGGTGTATGATGAGCGATACTGAAGTTGTAAAGATTATGTGTAAAAACTAAACGCGTCTGTGTGTAAAAGTTTTTGTGTGTAAAAGCCACTCTGTGTACTCCTCTGTGTAAAAGCATCTGTCTGTAAACGCTCCTCTGTGCAAAGACTTCTCTGTGTAAAAGCTTCTGTGAACGCGTTTGTGTGTAAAAAGCTCCTCCGTGTAAAAGCTTCTGTGTGTGGAAGCTTCTGTGTGTAACAGCTCCTCTGTGTAAAGACTTCTCTGTGTAAAAGCTTCTAAAAGCTTCTGTGTGTAAAAGCTCCCCTGTGTAAAAGCTTCTGTGTGTAAAAGCTCCTTTTGTAAAGACTTCTCTATGTAAAATGCTCCTCTATGCAAAAAGCTTCTGTGTATAGAAGCTCCTCTGTGAAAACCTTCTGTGTGTAGAAGCTTCTGTGCTTAAGTTCTTCTGCGTGTAAAAGCTACTCTGTGTAAAAACTTCTGTGTGTAAAAGCTGCTCTGTGTAAAAGCTCCTCTATGCAAAAAGCTTCTGTGTATGAAAGCTCCTCTGTGCAAAAGCTTCTTTGTGTAGAGGCTTCTGTGCGTAAAAGCTTCTGTGTGTAAAAGCTTCTGTGTGTAAAAGCTTACGTGTAAAAGCTTCTGTGTATAAAAGCTGCTCTGTGTAAAGGCCTCCGCATGTAAAGACTTCTCTGTGTAAAAGCTTCTGTGTAAAGACGTCCCTGTGTAAAAGCTTTTGTGTGTAAAAGGTTCTATTTAAAAAACATCTCTGTGTATATAAAGGCTTTTGTGTGTAAACGTGTGTGTGTGTGTTCGGGTGTGTGTGTGTGTGAACACTGCTAGTCACATGCAGTTTTAAAAGGTTTTAAATATGTTTCGGTTTCATCAGCATGCAGGGGACACAACGATTCACTGGGACTGTGTCCAACGAAGCTACCAGTGAAATGGGATAAGCAGCTTGGCCAGCTGGACGTACCTGCAATCTGTTCATTTAATTTTCGCAGACATGGCACGGGGCTAAGCCAAGGACCCCAATATGTTTGGCTTCTAGGCTCGCGGATTCCCATGTCAGTTCATTTAATTTCAATTTCTACTAGTATCTATTTGTTGCCATCTCCGGATGTTTTCCCAGGCTTTGAGACCTCAAGGCGTCGAATACCCCTTTTTACAACGCTCCAGTGCTTTCCTCATGCAGTGTGTTCATGGGTATATACTCAACCTCACTTGGTTGTACAGTCTCTACGTTTCGATGTGGATGAAAGTGATGGCCAAGCATTTTCCCGAGATTAGAAAGAGATGTCGCCAACATCTGGAATCCATTTGCATTTCGAGCGCGAATGAGTTCTGAATGTTTAGGTGGACGTTCCGAGTTCAACAGCGAAACGTTGGTAATTAAGCCACATGGCGAAGCAGCCCTATGGGCGAAGTACCCGCATGGGAGAAGTAGCCACAAGGCGAAGTAATACTCTCATCAGGTCCTGGCCTCAGATTCCCCCCCCGCTGGTGCGACCTTGGATACAATAGTATAGCTGGGTGCCTTCCACTCCCGCACGTGGGTCCATGGGCGCAGCGCGCACAGCTTGGGACACCCCCCTTCCCTTCTTCAGCCACCCAAAGCTTCTGTGTGTAAAAGCTTCTGTGTGTAAAAGCTCCTTTGTAAAGACTTCTTTGCGTAAAAGTTTCTATGTGCATCAGCTTCTGAGTTTCTGTGCGCAAAAGTTTCTGTGTGTAACAGTTTCTCTGTGTTAAAGCTTCTTTGTGTGAAAGCATCATGATTCTGAAATATTTTGATTCTGATTGTCAGCCAGGCGCCAGCCCTGGAAAAAACCTCCTTTGGTGGAAAAAGCATCAAACCGAGGACATATATTGGATATATGATATGTGGCCAACATTCGTCATTGTCAACGCCATTATCACCATCATCCATCATCATAACACTTTCTTATCTATTGTCGTCTGGTACCTCAGTCCCCGCCGTTCGACCCTCATTTCGTGCGACAAGTTTGCATCTGAAGTGCGAAGACTGCAATTTTACACCACTTTTGACCTTCGACCATCTTCGACCCTCATGCGAAAGGGCGACGCCCGGGCACCAAAAATTTGCATGTCACCACACGTTTGTGCGTCCGACGCGCACGATCTCCGCAGAGGGTTGCGCCGGACAGTTGAAATCGCAGCTTATTAATTGTTCACCTTCGGCCTGCAGGAGTTAAGATACAAGTAGATCACCTAGAACTTAACTCCTGTGTGCAACAACTCCTGTGTAACAACCCAACAACTCGTATAGAAGAACTCCTCTGTACCAGCTCCTGTGTAACGACTTCTGTGTCAGAACTCCTGTGTAAAAATTCCTGTGTAAGAACTCCTGTAGAACAACTCCTGTGACAGAACTCCTGTGCAAATGACTTTCTAGGAGTTTTGTAGGATATGTGTAAACGATATGTAAACCGTGAGCACCTGTAGATGAAGTTGCTGTGGATGATGTATGTGATGTAGATGGAATTGAATGAAATTGGCGTAGATGATGTAAATGTAGATGATGTATGTGATGTAGGTGAAGTTCATATAGGTGATGTAGGTGATGTAACAGATATAGCTAGGGATGTAGGAGATGTAGATGATGTATGTGATGATGGGGTTGATGTAGATGAAGTTGATGCAGATGATGTAGGTGATGCAAGGGATGTAGGAGGTGTTATGTACATGAAGTGAAAAGTTGAATTTGGCAGCAGTGTTTTGGGAAAAACCGTTTGCAGGAGTGGGGAATACAGTAATAGGCATATAAAGGTTTGGAACGGCTTGAGAGAAAACCAAAAACATTTGCAATCCGACCCAGAATGGTGCCTATGACATTTTTCCGGTTTGTTTTCCCAAATCCATCTCCTAAATCAGCACGTTTTTTCCGAAATTTTAAGACTCTGTCATGCAACATCCTGGTGAGCTGTGCCCTTTGACGCGCACTGGTGAGGAGAAGATGAAGCCCATTCCCAGACAGGCCAAACGGATCAACATCGCTGCTTTCACATGCAAAACATAGTTTTTGCGTTTCTGTTCCACTTGGGGGGTTGTGCAGAGCCAGAGTAAGTAGCTCTCCCATAGAGGAGCCTTCATTCCGCCTCCTGGCAACCAGTCCATCAGATATCATACTAGGAAAACCAGCCGAGCGGCTGAGCGAAATTGTTTAATTGTGAACGAGGGGAGCAAAGGGGTTCCGGGGGCCCGTGTTTTGCCAAAGAAGAAGATGATGAAGAAGGGGGCTGTCACACGGAAAAAATGAAAAAAGGTCGGCAACTGAAAAGGTGGAAGGCAGACCAAACATGAAGTCAAAGAGGAAGAAGAGGGTGCTCGGAGACGTTTTTAAAGACCCGAGAACCCAAGACGTGGAATGCAAAGCAACGCAAAGGAAAGCAAGGACGAGTCAAATTAAAGACCAAATTTTAAACTACAAAACTAATCAAAACTATATAGTCCTAGTAAGAAAGAAAGGTGGTATTTTCCACTATTTTCCTGTATTTTTGCATCGTCAAATAAGAAGAAGGGGGTTCTGGGCAATGTTAAAGAGGTTGCCGATAAACATCGATAAACTAGGTCATATGCAGATCAAGGACACATCAAAGATCAGATCAATTTGTCACAAATTGTTCTTTCCGCATGGCTCTCTTGGAGGGGAGGTCTCCTTCAGGCGGCGGCGAGGGAAAGAAGTGGATCTGTTTCAGCAGAATTGAGCAGCAAAAGCAAGAAACACATCACACTGCAGAAGATAATTCCTGATATTCATACCCTGGCCCTATAAGGCCTATTTCAACAATGGTCTTTCTATCAAGGCTATTGCTATTTCGCCGAAATGGTTTGCTGTTCACTCACGCGTGTTTCTATCGATGAATCGCAGCATTGACAAGGGCTACGTTTCCTGACCTCTCAAAATGTACAAAGCACATCAAAGCACACCAGGCTCG